TATATATATATATATATGAGCCAAAATTTTCTACGGCATGAAGATTCGATTCACATTAAAAATACTTGTGGTTAATTAGTCTAGGGACGTGTCATTAGACTTTTTAGCTCAGAAGTTAGAATGTGAAACATATCATTAAAAAAAGTAAAAAAAAAAACTCAAAACAGATAATAAATATCTGATGATGTTGTTCCTTTATATCAAAATATCTTGAACAGATCATAAATTAATACTATTATTATTGTGGGGGAAGAGCGTCTTTGCGTATCTTTCTTAAATTCAAATGGTAATAATTACAAGTTTTTGGCATATATATACGATGCTTTGCCCGTTTCTCAGTGCTTCTCTGTAGGACCAGATATTGGCATTTGGCATGTGTCTTCAAGTTTTTCTTTTTAAAAGTGTTTTTTTTTTCCTTCAATAAAAAGTGATATATGAATGTATTTATCTAAACTTCTCCAATAAAATATGTTACTTTAAAACAAATTCTATTTATTTCTTAAAAATCACTTTTTACAAATTATATTTTTAGAATCTTTTTTTAAGAAATTGAATAAAATGGCCCGTTATGTTATATACAGTCAAATAATTTAAAATTCAGATATTAGTGTGAGGAACGAAATAATAATTCTAGTATTTTGTTGAATAAATTTTTTTTATCTAAAAATTACAATGACAACAACATGACTCGAATATAAAATCTCGTAGATATATTAGTTAACTTGGTTGATTTTAATAGTTAATTTCAACAACAACAAAAAAAAAGGTTAATAAACCGTGAAAACTAATAATAATTTCAGTTTAGATGAGTTTATAAATGTTACCATATATTGAGTGATGATTATGGAAGTAATTAATCTTACAGTTTCACTTTAAAGAAGTAGACGAACACAGCTCACAAGTAATTAATTGTTTGTGTTGAGCCTTAAAAAGCAAGTGAAAGCTACAAATCTTAATGTGGGTCTGAGCAATTGATAGTAACTGGAAAAGGGTGTGTTCATAGTGACTCAAAATCCACTTGGGTGATCATATACACATTTATGGAATTCCACTCTCTATTTGTCATGAGAAGTGGAAACCCCACAATTAAGGACCATTTGTCTCAAACAAAACCAATTGAGAGAACATGTCAAAGGTCTAAAGTGAATTATAAGATCAACTTTAGATAATTAAGTTTATGCCTGCGGTTGGAACTCAAGATTCACAAATACTTTTTCTTTTTATGGGTGTTTTAGAATAGTGGATTTAAGCTTAACTCAACTCTAAAAAACCAGCTTGTAAGGTGAGAGTTGTTTTCTACTTATATACTATTCAATTGTCTACTCTCTAATCGATGTGAAACTTGGGTTTTTCCCAATACACCCCTCTCACGTCAAGCACTATTGGGCTTGGTACGTGGATTAAATGGTAGGTGACCCTTTTTAATGATCTAGAATTAGCGGGACTTGGGTTTTTCCCAATATACCCCCTCATGCCTATAGCGCATGCATCAATGGTGGATGACCCATTTAAAGTGAATCTAAATGGCTCTGATACCATCTTAGAATAATGAAT